ATGGGCAAGGGCGTTAGCTCCAGCTGGAGGGTGCCAGGGCTGTCTGCCACACCACAGCTGCCCTGCGAGCTAAAGCAAAGGGAGCCACCAACTCTGCCACTGCAGGAGCCTGGAAGAGCCACCCATGCCAGCATTTGTCAAGCTGGAGCCCATGGTTCTTCTCCTCTGATTGCTAAAAAGACCCACACACCTGGAAGCTTGGGATGAGCTGGGCCATACCTGGCTTTGCCTCCATCCCAGGAGGTTTTGTGTGGGATAAGGCCCCACGTCACTCGTTCCTCTCCGTTGCAGGACTTGATCTGGAATGTCAGCCCATGCTCAAACGCTTTCTTCAGCAGCATTGCCGTCTTCTGCCCTTCCCTGTTGTCAGGCAGGAAGGCATAGAAATACCCGCCTTTGTAAGGCTGTCCTGGGCGGGGGTCACCAACCTTAGGACAGGAAAAAAGCATTTTAAACAACAACCTGAGCGCTGTGCCTCAGAGCTGGCTTCTGAGCTTCTGTCCAGCTCGAAAATACACCGACAACTGTGGCCCGCAGGGGCTGCTAGTCGCTTTGCACTAAAACCAGAGGTCACACGCTCTTCAAAAGCAGCAAGCTGCTCCCAGACCTGGTGTGGGGCTTGCTGCCTTCCACGGGGCAACACCTCTGCTGCTCTGTGTGTGGGGCACGGAGCGGTAGCTGCTCCCCCACCTTCCCCCTGCCCCAGCCACACTGACAGAACCCATTGCACGTCCTGCAGCGGGATGGGGAAGCCCCCGAGCTGCGTACCTACCCCTTGCACGCCGTCGGGGATGTTGTAGGTGACCTGGAGTGTTGGGTCTCGATAGTAGCCAGGCAGATTCTGAGACAGGGAGGAGATCTTGAACGTCCCTGAGATCTTGCGGCTTGGGGCAACCGAGGAGGAGCTGCAGCAAGCTGGCTGCATACTGTCCGCTGCAAAACATGTCCTGCACAAGGCGTGACCGCAGGGGCCCTGGCAGGTCACACCTGAGCCCTGGCAAGCATCACACTGGCCCAGAGGGGTCTTGCCGCTTTCCTGTCCAAGGCTGGGGCCTCTTGTCTGCTGTGACGAGAGGTCAGGCTCCTCCTGCACGTTGCTCCTGCCCGTTGGGAGCAGGGCCCGTTCCTGGCCCCTGGGCTCTGCTGCAGGTGAGTGTTCGGCTGCAGCCGCAGGCGGGGCCGCAGCCGGCGGCTCCAGCCGCAGGCGGCTCAGCAGCCGTAGCCCTGTGCAGCCAGGTGGGCAGGGAGCGAGGAGCGCCGTCTGCTGCAGGCGCTGGCGACCGCAGCTGTCCCATCACTTCACTGTGGCCTCCTCTGCTCTTGTCTCTTGCAAACTGGAATTTGTCTGGCAAAACCTGCTTTAGCCGTGCAATGTCAGGCTCCCCCACAGACAGTTTTGTCTTCGGCTGCTCCTGGGACTCCCTCAGACCAGCAGGACTTGGCTTATCCACTACGCCAGGGCTGAGAAGGCTGCTTCCTCCCTGTGCAGCCCCAGGATCAACGTGGTCGTTGGCCTCCTCCTGCCCCAGGGCCTGCTGGAAGCTCCAAGGGCTGGGGGACCTCTTTTCCTCAGCCTCTGGCAGCTGCAAAGCCCTGAGCTCATCTGCGTGGTCTGCTTTATCGCTAATGTTCAGGTGCTGCAGGTCCATCTGCAGGGACTCCAGGCTGCCGGGAAGGGCAGCACCCAGCACCGTGTCCTGGCTTCGGCTCAGCTGGGTGACACCTGCGTGCCCCGTACTCTCTGGTCCTGGAGACGAGGATGAAGACTTCAGGGCATGGAGCCTCCTGGAAAAAAACATGTGGAAGGCCTCAGTCACTCCTCGCAGCACCTCCTTGGGGTAGGCAAGATACAGCTTGTACTTGTCTTTGCTGAGTCCAACCTGGAGGGATGTTCCTCGCAAGAGGCTGCAGAGTTCACTCAGGGCACTGTCATCCGGACCATCTACAGCGAGCTCCGAGTAGCTCATACTCTGACACACAAGGTCAGGACACTGCTGCACAAGAGCTTCCACCTTCCATTTAGCCTGCAAAAGCTTGCTCCTGTCCGCAGCCCGCAGCGTCAGCACCGTGCAGTCCCCAGCACGATGCTCGGAGATCTGCACGCCTCCACCCCTGCACAGCTCGTCAACAGCAGAGCGGCAAACGTCTTTCAGGTAAGACCACTGCAGGGAGTCCAGGCTCATTTCTTCACTCACCCTACTGCCTCCACCGCCTGCCCTGCCAGCGCTGTCGCCTTCCTTCGACCTCGGCAGGGAGAAGCTGTTGGAACGTCGCAGCAGAGGCCTGGATTCAGAGGGTTTAGAGTCTAACGCAGGAGGGGTCCTTGTCACGTCAAAGGTACTAGACGTGCTAGCGAGGGGGTGGTGCTTGGTGGGACCTGAGCCTTGAGAGTCCCCAAGATGCTGCAAAGTGCCGTTGTCTTTGCCCCCAAAGGGAGACAGAGCCTTGCGTCCTGCAAGCCTGGCACCCCCCTTCACATGGTCCCGTTCTTTGGGGTCCTTCGGCTGAGACCCTGCTGCTGACCCCAAAACCACATCTGTTGTAGAGACACGAGGCTGGTACTGCTGGGGTGGCGCGGCTGGCTCGCTGGGGCCGAGAGCATCTGTCTCTGACGAGTGCTTTCCAGAAAGCTGCGCCTGTCCCAGGAGGCCCCGGCTGGCCTGAGACCCGTCAGCTTTCAGAGGGCCGAAGTTGGCAGCTAGCCTGAGCTCAGCTTTCTGCTCCAGCCTGCCTGGGCTGAGCCTCGAGGCTGAGGTGTCCGCAGGCGCTTTGGGCTTGTGCAGCGCAGCCTCTGTGGTGCGGGAGGTTGCTGGGTGCAAGGGCAGGGAGCTGCTGAGCCTGCCAACCGTCTGTGCAGCACCTCTTCTGGTGCTGAAATCCTGAAGGTACTGCTTGGCCTGGGAGACATCAACAAGGTTGCCAATAAGGTAAAGCTGCTTCTCGTCCTCATGGCAGAGCAACTGGGGATACAGTTCCTGCAGCTCACGTGTCAGAGCCCTGAGTGCCTGGCTGTCCATCTCCAGTCCTCCCTTAGTGATCTTCTCCTTGCGCAAGCTCACCTCCAGCTGCTGGTAAAGCTGCTGCAGGGCCAGCCGAGCCTGCCGCAAGGCGTCCATGTCCCCAGGCACACCTGCAGATGGCTGGAGGTACAGTATGGCGATGCCATCGCTGCTAACATCCACCACATCCACGCAATGCTGGCGTAGCACACCTTGGTACTCGGCAGCACAGAACCTCTGCATGTACAAGCAAATGTCCGAGTCCATCACTAGGGAAAAGTCCTCCAGCTGTTCCACAGCTTCCCCATCCACTGGGCCCCGAGGCGATGGGACTTTAGCTGCCTTCTCACACACTTGGTCCCAATTCGGCAGCTTTGCTGCCTCCCGTGCTGCCTCAGCCGAGTCGGGCGCTTGCTGGTGCTCATGCAGTCTGGTCTCTGTGGCCAGGTGGCTGGAAGCTGGCAGGAGGATCTCTCCGGCAGGTTGGCTCTTGAGGTTCAGGCTGCCCAGCAGGTCTCTGCTGAAGGCCTGCAGCTCAGTGAACGGTCCCTTGACCACGCAGTGCGTGTTCTTGGAGTCGAAGCTGAGCTGCACATTGCTGTAGCCTTTATGCACGTTCTTCAGGAGGGTTTTGCCAGCAGGAAGCTTGCCGTAGTCAACTACCAAGCAAGCGCGTATGAAGATCTGCAAGCAGACAGCAAGGGAGTGAGAGAACAAGGACCAAAAATAAGCCCCCTCCAAGGCACAGGAGGAGGCAAATGCACCTGACACTCGCCACAGCCCCTGCATTACTGGGACAGAAGCGACGACGTGATCTGCCACCGTTCCCTCTCAGCATCCTGCTCTCAAGGGAGACGGGAGCATAACACAGGCAGGCCTGAAGGACCCAGCCAGCCCAAGCACCTCTTGGACCACGCACCCATAGTCAAAAGCCTTCTGCAAACCAGGAACGCGAGGGGCGAATCGCACAGAGACGTGGCCCCACTCCTGCATGCCGGGAGCTCTGCAGAGAGCCCAAACCCAGGACATCCCCTGTCCCTTCTGCATCTGAAATGCAGTTGCCCTCTTGCTCTCCCAGAGCTTCAGCTGCAGACCCTCCAGCAGTCCGGCACCGCAGGCTTGCAGAAAGGTCTGCAATGCCGGGCTAACTCCCGCGCCCTTGTTGTCAGTGCTCAGACGTGAAAGCACGAGACGTGGCCACTGCCGTACTCCCTTGGAACTGGAGGAAGAGGCAAGAACCCTCCAGTGCCTCCTAGACACCAGCGTGTCTGTCTCCCGAGAAGGAGAGAGGACAAATACACCGTGCGTGTCCAGCTAATGACATGGCCTGCAGCTAGCGGCACGGCAGAGGCATTAACAGGATCCCCCGTGTGCCACCAGATGGGCTGGGAAAACGCGCCCCTTCCCTCCAGCCCGACTATTCTTCCTTGCTTTGACAGGCACAAACACCAAACAACCGAGCGCACAGCCTGCCTGGCGGTCCCTGTGTTATTAGCACAGAAAAAAAGAATTCCTCATTTGAATATGAATAAAAATGGATTTGCTTTAAGCCTAATTAAGACTAAGGGAGGGAGCGAGGTCTCCCTTCCCGCACGTCTGCCAGGCACGGAGCCGGTCTGGTTGCCAGCTGGGGCTGTCAGGGCCGCGCGGGCAGGAGCCACCTGCTCCTCGCTACCTCGTCGGGGCTCAGCTCCGCGACGTGCGCCGTCACTTCCAGCGGGTATTTCTTCTCTCCGATCGACAACACGTGGTTCTTCATCTTCAGGATCCTCTGGGCCACTGGGTGGGAAAAGCCAAGAGCCGCCCGCGTCAGCCCAGCCCTGTGCCGAGAGGCAGCAGCCCCGTACCTGCCCGGAGCACACGGGGCAGGAGGGCAGGGGACGGGGCTGGGTGCTCGGGGGTGGCCAGCATCACGACAGACGCGGCGCTCCCGGCAGATGCTTTAATCCCCGCTGTGCCCGGGGGCCAGCGGCCACACGGGACTCCGCCGCATGGGGCTGACTAGCCCGCGTCCTCCGTGAAAACGGCCACCGCCTGTCGTCCCAGCGGGACGTAGGCGAGGGTCTCCACCTCTCCCCCGCCGCGGCTGGCCTTCTGGAAGTGGATCTCCAGGGTGTCCCTCATGGGCTCCTCACCCAGCACGTCTGGGATCCCCGAGAGCAGGACGGTCCGGGGGCAGCGGGAGGGCTGGAGCTGGGCAGAGCCGGGGTGAGGCCACGCCGCAGGGCAGGGGTCCCCTCGGGCGCCCGCCGGGCAGGCAGCAGCGCGGGAACGGCGCCTCGGGCTGCGCGGCAGCGTGGGGAGCGGGGCTTCGGGGGCCCCCCGCGCTGGCTCGCCTCGGCCTGGCAGGTGCTGCTCGGCACCGGCTTCACGCCCTTACCTGCAGGTTAGCGATGTCTCCGCTCACGTGCGGTGAGATTTTGAGATCGTATTTTCCTTTCCCAAGAAGCACCTGGATGTGTCCCCTCGCAATTAGCGGCTCTGCCACTGCAGATGGAGAGGAAAGCCCTGAGCCGCCCAGGCTCCTGCTGAGCTCCCGGGGAGGTTCTGGCCCCGGCCCCGGCACCCAGGCCGGCACCGCCCAGCCCCAGCTGCCCTGCACCGGCAGTCTCAGGGGCAGCAGGACAGCCCGGGCTCGCGCTGCCTGCCCTCTTCCCCACAGACACCTGCTCTCGGGAGACGACCCGTGCCCTGCCGAGGCGGCTGGGCTGCTCCCCCTGTGCCGGCAGCCCAGGCTCAGCACGCCCCACGCACCTCCGTCCTGCGCGAAGGTCAGCACCACCTGGCCGGAGTCGTCCAGGAACTCCCTGCTCTCCACCTCACCACCCCCGTTCTTCGTCTTGCTGAAGAAGAGCTCCAGCTTGTCCAGTAGTGCTTCCTCGGGGATGCCCAGGCTGGGCAGGTCAGACACGATGATGCTCCTGCTGCTCCGAGTCAGCCCGATCTGCGGGTGGCACAGGCCGGTCAGCACAGGGCAGGGCCGGCCCCAGAGCTCGGGGGAGCAGCGCGGAGCTGCGGCGTTCATGCACTGAGCGGGGCTGGTACCGGTGACCGGCAGAGGCGGTGGAGCAGGGCGCGGCAAAGCTGTCGTTCCCTGCGGCGTGGGGAGCAGCGGGCTCTCGGGACCTACCTCCAGGACAGATGGCAGCAGTACGTCCACTGGCGCTGCCTGCACTCGCACTCTGCAGCGGTCGAGCTCCTCCAGCTCCTCCCCATTGCTCAGCTCCACCGTGTGCTCCTTCATCTCTACAATCCTCTGGGCCACTGCAAGCAGGGAGAGCCCCAGCACAGGGCATCGACCGCCTGCTCCGAGCATGCGGGACAGGGCACGGGGCCGCTCACGCTTTGGGGCACAACCCCGCCCGGCGCCGGCAGAGGGGCAGAGCTCCGAGGCCTGGCCCAGAGAGGGGACGCAGGGCAGGCCCCAAAGCCGATCGACCAGGACACCTGGCCGTGGCAGCGCTCTTCTCGCTCTTACCCTCCGCCTTCTCAAAGACAACGAGAGCTGAGCCCCCCAGCAGGGGGTAGCGGATCAGGGGGGTGAGCATCAGCTTGTTCATGTCCTCCTTGTTTGTCACAAGTCCCTTAAACACCATTTTCTTCTCCGGCAAGGCAGGCAGCATCTAGGTTCAAGTACACAGACCGCACCTGGAGGAGACCGGGCCCCGCACAGGGCCTGTCCCTGCCAACCCACAGACTAGAAACAAGCTCTTGGCTCAAAATAAACAGCCTCAGCAGAGTCTCCTTTAGCGTCTGGCTGTGCCTGGAGTCCCAAAGCCACAACTGGAGCTGCTGACCCTGGCAGAGGAGGCACCCGCTAGCAGGACCGTGCCAGTCGTCACAGTGCCCAGCTGCGGGCACCTGCAACCCCCAGCGCCCTTTGCCTGCAGACCCGAGTGCCCACACACGCCGTTACCATCACCGGATCCTGCCGGAGGACCCTCTTCCTCGCCTCTTCCAGTTTCTGTTTCAGCACCTGCTCCTCCTGCCTCAGTCTGTTCTTCTCCTCCTTCGCCAAAAGAATGTCCATCTGGGAGGGAAGGAAGAGGGGGCAGCAAGGGAACCGCCGGCCCCGGGGGCCGCAGCACGCTCTCTGTTTTAAGCCCAGCGCTGTTCTTGGACACGGCTCTGCCCACACGGTTTTTCTGCCCTTGACTGCCTGCAGCCCTCCCCTGGCTCGCCGCGGCACCAGCTCGCTTCTCGGCACAGGCCCGATGTGGCGTCCCGTGAAACCGCCACCGGGTCCAGAGCAAAGCGATCTCCGGGCAGTGAGCCCAGCGATGCAGCCCCACCGCCCACTGCCGCCGTTCCAAGCCCAAGACAACTCCTCCGGCCACCAACCTGGCAGGACATCTCTTCATCTCTGTTAAAACACAATTGTTGCTCAAGATTTTTATGAAGAAGTTCTCCCTCTTTCCTCAGCTCTCGTGTCCTTTGCTCTGTGGCTTCCTTGGCCATTCGTAGCTCCGCGTGCTCTCGCTCCAGAGCTCTACAAAGCTCCTGTGAGAGGGACCATCAGACAGCGGGACCCTGCGGACGTCGTGCCACCCCCGCCGGCGGCCCAGCCCTAGCACACGTTTGGGAAGGAGCGGGGCTGCTCCCCGTGCGGAGCCCCAGACCCCCGTCCCGGCTCTCAGCCGCGGGGGACCCCGGCTCTACCGCTCCCGGCCCCCAGTCCGAGGGAAAAGCCGCGGCTCAAGCTCACAGCCCCGGCCGGCGGGGCGGGCTTGGGTCCGACCCAGCCCAGCTCCCGGGGCCGCAGCGGGACGCACCTCGCAGCGCTCCGTCTCCTG